CCCGGCCCTGCCGCTGACACGCTTGTCGCTGCGGGGCAGGCGTGCAAACCTCCCGGGGCTGCGCACCCCGCTCCTCGCTGCGAAAATGGGGTGACTGGGGTGGCTCCGGTGGGGAGAGCTGGGGACGGGAGCACGGGGCTGCAGCACACAGCGGTCCCAGGCAGTACTGACCCTCCTTGCACTCCAGGGCCACCCGGGACTCCAGATTGTCCATCTGCATCTGCAGCCTCTTGAGGGTCAGGTCGTTCTCTCGGGACTTGCGCTTGTAGGCGATGAGAACGATGATGACGATGATGAGGAGCAGGCTGCCTCCGGCCGCGATGCTGACGATGGCTGGCAGGGTCAGGAGGCTGTCTGAGACGATGCTCACCGAGCCAGGGGAGAAGACGATGCCACCGACACGCACCTACAAAGCACAAGGGAGGTAACCGGCAGCTCCGGGTAAGGCCGTCAGCCTGTCCCAAAGCCCCGTCCCGGGCACACAGACCCCCACAGCAGCACCAAAACGCCTCTGTTTCAGCCAAGATTATGGCAACTCCGATCGCCTTCAGACACAGAGGGTGCAGCTCATGTGAACACCGCGAGGCTTCAAGTCATGATAAATGCGCCAGCCCTTCACTATCTGGGCTCTGTTCTTATTATCTGATGGCTCCATTTGACTTTCATTTTATAGGCTTTCAACTCCCTTTTGTAAACCGTGGACATTAGCAACCCAGTGGTAATTTCACTGACAAGAAACCAGAGTGACTGCAAAGGGAGAACAGAGAAGGGAAGAGAAAGCCCCGTGGGAACTCCAGAGCAAACACACTGGAGGTTCACGCTGGGACAGGCTTTTCTTGGATGTGCCCTGGTCACAGATGCAAGCAGCTCTCAGCCAGGCTGTGCTTCTGTGGGCACACAGACCCCCACAGCAGCACCAAAACGCCTCTGTTTCAGCCAAGATTATGGCAACTCCGATCGCCTTCAGACACAGAGGGTGCAGCTCATGTGAACACCGCGAGGCTTCAAGTCATGATAAATGCGCCAGCCCTTCACTATCTGGGCTCTGTTCTTATTATCTGATGGCTCCATTTGACTTTCATTTTATAGGCTTTCAACTCCCTTTTGTAAACCGTGGACATTAGCAACCCAGTGGTAATTTCACTGACAAGAAACCAGAGTGACTGCAAAGGGAGAACAGAGAAGGGAAGAGAAAGCCCCGTGGGAACTCCAGAGCAAACACACTGGAGGTTCACGCTGGGACAGGCTTTTCTTGGATGTGCCCTGGTCACAGATGCAAGCAGCTCTCAGCCAGGCTGTGCTTCTGTGAACCACACTGTGATAATCTGAGCATGTTCTGGATGCTGAACTTGAAGGGAAATAAATCACAATTACAATCTCAATTGGGCTCCACTCAGGCACTTGGGCTCTGCGTGCTCGGTCTGCGACTGGATCAGAGGCAGCAGCAGTGCCCGAAACCAAAGCAAAGGAAGACACCGACTGTCACTCCGGACGAGGCCGTTGATCCAACCAGCCCAGCGTTCAGATGTCCCTGGCTGCTTCTGCTTCGGGAAAGGGTGAAACCTTTCCATCCACTCAGCAGATCAGGCCTGGCTACAGGGACTGATCAGATCCCCGCCGGGGGAGAACGCAGCCCGCTGACAGCGCTCTCCCCTGGCACTGCAGGAAGGGCAAGCAGCACCGGAGAAAGGACGGTACCCGGTGCCAAAGGCACTGCCAGAAATATCTGTTCCTTCCAGAAGGCTCTGATAGTAAGTGGGGAGTTTCAAGCAGGTAATACGAAATTTGTCCATGCTAATCTACATTAATATGTTAAGCTTCCAATTAGACAGCTGTAAAGATCTAAAATCCTACTGATCCTTGGACAAGAAATTGCACCCGACATCTGAGCGAGTCAGGGAGACGGCAGAGGGGCAGAAAGGATGGAGGGAGGGCAGCGATGGCGACAGCAGCGTTTGGTCGCTCACCATCACTTTGTGCTGCCCGGTGAGATTTGGTGGCTCGCACAGCAGCTGGGTCTCGGAGACGGTGACGGCGCAGGGTGTTTCCCCGATCAGCACGGTGTAGTTGAGCTTCGCTCCCCCCGGCGCGGGTGGGCACAGGTTTCTGCCCTAGGGACAAGGGGAGAAAACACTGTACAAAGATGCAACGCATTTCTCTGGTTTTCCTCCCGTTCCCAGCTTGTGCAAACGGTGGGATTGCATCTAGCGCTCTCCAAAGGAGGTACAAAACTCCTCTCTCTGGGATTCTTTGCCTCTTCCCACCGGGTAAGGTCTGCTTACCTTCAGGATGATGGGCGAGCCCGGCTTCTGCTCCAGCACCCCGGTCGGGCTCAGGAGTTCAAACGTCGGGTTGGGGTAGTAGATGAACTTGGTGTCGTTGTAGACCAGCAGGTTCTGGACGTTGTTGAAGATGAAGCCAAACTCTTCCGGCCGCTCGACGGCGTCCAGGCCGGGCCGGTACTCGGGGGTGAGGGGGGGGGCGAGGCAGGCCAGCGCCGTGGCGTTCACCACCTTGCAGACCTGCGGGGAAGGCAACGCTTTGACCGATGGCTGGGGAAGCTTCACCCCGACCTGCACAGTGAGGTTCTGATCCCTTAAATACTCCCTGAAAAGCCCCGCGGATTCATGTTTAGCTGGAAATACATAACGCAGGTTTGATGCATTGCAGCCGTAGTTTGGGGGGAATTTGCTTCCCTCTGGCCAGTGCGAAGGCACTGGCGTGGAGACAGAGCGAGCTCCAACATGAGCAGAGTTTCCAAGGAGCTAGCAGCTCCCACAGCAGATCATTTAGCCCTTTTTCTTTATTTTTCCTTTTCTTTCCAGTTGCAACACCAGCTTTGAAACAGAACCACAGCGAATACCTGGTCCCTGCTACAAATCCGTGACCAGAGGCAACTCCTGAACGCCAGCGAGGGAGAGGAACGATCATCTGACCCTCGTGGGCTGGAGGCAGCCCGAAGGTCACCTCCGCAGCTCCGCCAGCCCCGCAAGCCCGGAGCCGGCTGATTTATGAGGCTCTTGCCTTACAAAGCAGCAACAGCCCAACTGTTTGGCCTCCCTCCATCAGTGGAAGATTTAATTTCACACAATTTTGTGTCTTCTGAATTATTTTTGTAGCGCTATAACTGCAACTGCTAACAAAATTAAATGTCGTCTTTTTAAACAGAGCTCAGACAAAAAAAGGTCTTCAGAGGGGAAGGGAAAAAGGAATCGGAAAAGACTGCTAAGTGCTTTGCCCTTTCCAGGATAATACAGATTCAGTCAGAAAGATCACTGCACAGAAACAGTATTTTTCAGTTTTACTGGTCAAAACAATTTCTGCGAGCCCTGGAGGTACAATCCTTACTTGCAGCATACAAGAACACCGCTTGGTTCCCGTTTAGCTGAGGATTCATTTCATTTTCTCACTCTTGGACTGAGAAAACACAGAGAGGGGAAAGAGGTGACGTTCCAGATCAACCCCAAATTCTGCTACCAACTCCTTGCTTCAGGAACACCAGAGCAATAGGGGGGAGGAGGGGAAGGAGCACAAAAATCACACCCAGCTCCACCAACACACCCGGAGGCCCAAGCCCAGCACGCTTCACACGGTGAGGAGGGCGCAGGGAGGCAGCCCCTTGCCTTCCCGCAGCGATCAGGCTGCAAAAGCGGCCTGAAAGCTTCTTGTTCAGAAGCCGTTCCCCGCTCCCCTTCCCTCCCCAGGCTGGGACAGGCTGGCCGGGCCCCGAGCTGCGGCAACAGGAGGTTTATTTATAGCAGGGAGCTAGGGAGAGACTAGTTAAAGATAGCAGCCTCACAGCTGGCAGGTCTCGGTGCCTAGCTCTGGGCTTTTACAGAAAGAGCAGGACCAAAAAGGGAAGCACGGAGCAGCCGGGGATGCTGGGGACAGCTACGCGTGGACTTCCCATCACAACGTGCCCGTCGAGCTGAGCCAGGTACAGGGAAGAGAAGGATGCTGGGGAGAGGAGAGCTCTCGGGGCTCGGGGGCTCTGGCAAAAGGGGGAATTTCAGGAGTGAAACAAGTTTATCTGACCCAAGACAGAATTTGACGTGATGCAGATGACCCAAAATGCTTTGAAAACTCATTGGCAGTCAATGTGTTGCTGAGGAAGTAATCTCCCATTTGTGTGTGCTGGCACCCCTCTTTCCAGGGTCCCCGGGTTTTGCTGCTAACTGTCTGGGTAAGTCTAGGGAAACAGCCCCAGAGCGGCTTTTGCCACGGCAAGTCTCACCACGCAGAGAGCACTGGTACCAGTAACCGTACGCGTGCATCCGGGTGGGATGCTCCCAGGCACAGCGCGCCGACAGCGGCTACTTACGTTGACAAACTCCTTGCCGTTGTACTTGACGCGGATCCTCGGCTCCTGGATCACGTCCAGGTTGGAGCCGGTGACGGTCAGAGGCGTGTACCCGCTGCGGAGAACCAGGGGACACCGGATTAGTGCATCGGGCAGGAGGGGCTGGGGCTGCGCCGAGGGACTGTGCTTGACAATAAGGATGCTTGTTGACCTCAGAAAGATGTTTTCTGCAGACACTTCAAGCACCAGGCGACAGCGTGGATTAATACCCACTCGCTGAGCTGCTGGGGAGCCGTGGCTCACACGTCAGCTGGGTTCTCTACTCTCAGCTGCACCCTCTCCCACCCAACAGCACTGCAAGGCAGCAGGATGAGGAATGGGACCAAAGAAACCAACTGAGCTGAGACTAAATACGTAAGACAATAAATTAGTCACAGTGTTTAATGATTTACATAGCGATGTTTTTAAGGAACACGACAAATGGTACGTGCAGTGAAGGAACTGACACGCACTTGCATCTGGCCTGCAGACGCAGCAAGTTGTCACACGCAGCCGGGGAGGGCTGAGGAGCAGCCGGTGCCTTCGGGGCCGGGGAGGACCCAACCCGCGGGCTGGAGCACCCCCACCCTCCGGCAGCCAGCGCCCCTCAGCAAGTCCTTCACTCCTGGCTGCTTTTTCCATGCGTTAAGTGGAGCAGCGCAGCCCAGATTCACCCCAGGCTCCAGCCCCTCCGCAGCAGAGCCCAGCTGTCCCCCTCGGACCACCTCTGCCCGCAGTCCCCAGCAGCCCAGCAAACCCATCCAACCCAGCGCCAGGCGCAATCTTCATTTTGGACTCAAAGCAAGAGCCTGCTGTGAGACGCTTACTTCTTTCAAAGGCAATTTTAAAAAATAATTGGAATTTGAAATGAATAGCTGTCTTACAGCCCTTGTGAGCCCAACCATTAAAGTTACACCAGGGGACGAGTACGGCCCAGGGATTCTAGCAGCGACGACGTCACGGTGATGTGACAGCGCCGGCCACCCCATTCCTAGCAGTGAATCTGGGAAAAACAGTACATTTTGATTAGCATCAGCTATTTCCTTTCTTGGGGGTTGCTGGGTTTGTTTCATTCCAGGACCACAAGAAGGAACCTCTCATGAGCAACTGTGCACTTCTTCAGCAGATGGAAGTGACCTTGGGACTTTGTTTGTGCTCCCAGAACCCCGGTGCAGGCTGCTACTGTTGTAGCTGCCCTGGTAATCACAACTGCCTTAGTAACTCTGGACCCCATTTTTGATAAATGCAAACGCCACGGATGCCCAGCCCTGACAAATCCAGGACGCTGGGTGGGATATGCATTTCCAGACAGACCCTCTTTCGCCCTCACAGAGCGTGTGCTGAGAGAGAAGACCCAGCCAGGCGAGCTGGCTTCTCTCCCGCTGCCGAGGAGCTGCTGTCAGGGCCTTGCGTTACCTGGCGATGCTCCACTCGGGTTCGATGTGCTGCACCTTCGGATCGTCGATGTACTCGAACAGCAAGGTCTGCTCCAGCTGAGCCCGGTCGACGCTGACGGAGACGTGCACAGTGCCCAGGCCGTGGGCTGACGGGGCCGACACGCAGACGATCTCGTTCATGGATCGCCTGTGCGAGAGAGAAGCCGGGGAAGCATTAACGGCCGGTCCTTCACCCGACCCTTCGCCCTGCAGCTGCAGTGGGGCAGCTCACCAAAAGGCTGAGCCAGCCGCCAGCCCCAGGCTCGGACACTGCGCAGGGTGCCCTGGTAATCACAACTGCCTTAGTAACTCTGGACCCCATTTTTGATAAATGCAAACGCCACGGATGCCCAGCCCTGACAAATCCAGGACGCTGGGTGGGATATGCATTTCCAGACAGACCCTCTTTCGCCCTCACAGAGCGTGTGCTGAGAGAGAAGACCCAGCCAGGCGAGCTGGCTTCTCTCCCGCTGCCGAGGAGCTGCTGTCAGGGCCTTGCGTTACCTGGCGATGCTCCACTCGGGTTCGATGTGCTGCACCTTCGGATCGTCGATGTACTCGAACAGCAAGGTCTGCTCCAGCTGAGCCCGGTCGACGCTGACGGAGACGTGCACAGTGCCCAGGCCGTGGGCTGACGGGGCCGACACGCAGACGATCTCGTTCATGGATCGCCTGTGCGAGAGAGAAGCCGGGGAAGCATTAACGGCCGGTCCTTCACCCGACCCTTCGCCCTGCAGCTGCAGTGGGGCAGCTCACCAAAAGGCTGAGCCAGCCGCCAGCCCCAGGCTCGGACACTGCGAAGGGGACGAGCTCCTGGGACAGGCAGGGGGGCTTCACCAGCACGGGAGGGAGGGAACGGAGCTCCACGCAGGAGGGCACTCTGCCTGCCCACCGAAAGCGGAGCACAGGCTCCCCGAAATTACTCTTTGTGCCAGACTGCAGCCTCCCGCATCCCTCTGTGAACCCGCTGCCTTCTGCTGGGCGTGTGAAAACAGATGGCTGCTTTTTAAAAGGGATGCATAAGCTCACTCGAAAGCCAAATTCTTCCCCTCCCCACCCCACCGCACACCCTTGTGAGCAGCATAATGGAGCCCGCAAAGCCCCCGCCTGGGAAGGGCGATGCCACCGCCGCCGCTGTCGCCCGGCTTTGTCTGCCCGGCAGAGCAGGGCTGACCTCGG